AAAAAATTAGAGATAGAGCATGCTAAGTCCAAAAAAAAAATATATTTTTATTATTGTTAGACTTTTGAGTGGTTGGATTTGGTTGAATGTTTTTATAATTAATGTCTTTTTATTAAATTGTATTATTTTAATCATGACCGTTTGCCACCGGTTCAACCCCGGTTCAACCCTGATTGAACCACTAACCCGTGACCCAGTGCCATGACCGGTTTAATGACCGGTCCGGTTTTACGTACCTGGGTAAATCGTAAGTTAATCATTTGCAATTTTTTTGCTACCAATATGTAGATAAATTATTTGAAAAACTTACAAAATACACTTGATATTAATTATAAATTTATGAGAGTCAGTTATGAATCATCAGTTAATTACTTGTGATTTTTTACTATCAATTTATAAATATAATGTTTGGAAATCAACAAAAAGATATTTGAAAATTTTTTACAATATTAGTTGGAAATTTACAAAAAAGCCATTGTAAATCTTAAGTTAATTAACACAAAATATTTTATTGCAAGTAAGAATTATAATTATTATTAAAATTTTAATAATTTAAAATCTATAATTATGATTAATATTTTTATAGGTCTCTAATTGTCATTTCCCCAACTTCAAACCTTTGTCCTATAATTAGGATAGGTGGGAGCATATAAACATTCAGTTCTCAAAGGAAGATACATAAAAAATGAAATTGATTGGAGATGAAATCAGATTATACATGTTATAAATAGTCTTGACTTTTTATAATTGTTTTAATAAAAAGGATTGAGAGATATTTTTATTTTTTTAACTATTCACGTAAAAGAATCATGTATTCTAAAAATATATTATTGTATGAATAGTTAAAGGGACAAAAATGCCATTGAATTCTAATAAAATTAAATTTTAAAAAATTGCCAAGCCAAATTAAATAAGTAAATGTAGTTGCTAATGAAAAAAAGAATGCAGTGCTACTGCAATGCGTTGAATGAATTTATAAATTTATGATTATCAACTATTATCACATGACGTTAACTTTTTCCTCAAAACCTAAGAAATAAAAAATACATGTTTTAATTGATTTATGTTAAAATTAACCAGTAAAAGTTAGATATTATATATCCATTTTTGTGCAAATATATATTATAAAAGTTATACCAAACTATATTATTTATAAATCATATCATATTATTTTTTTAATTTCACTTGTAATACATTTAAAACTCGTGTCTCATATCACACATTATTCATCAATAATATACTGATGTGATAATGTAATAGTGTCATTACAACGGAAGAAGCGCAAAAGTGAAGAATAATTCTCGGGACAACTCTAGTAGGGGTATTAACGACATTTCACCATGTGTTTTTTCCAATGAAACGGCCTTTAGCAGTTTCTGGAACACTCGAGGTGGTTCATGGGCCGTTCTCCACTTCGTATTTTTATCCTTCGACACTACTTCTCATGGTTGTGATCAAAGCTCTCGTCTTTCTTCTTCGTGCTCATCGTATTCGTCTTCACGTCTGCATTCATTGTTCTTATTCTTCCTCAGAAGATGAGGTTAGCTCGCAAATCCTAGTGTCGCCATGTTTCATTGCTTCTTTGTCTTCCATATGGGTCATCATTGGTGATAGTAATCCTGCAAATGCCAAAAACACAATAATGGTGTATTTTTCTTTTTTCTTTTTTCTTTTTGCATTTTTGTATAAGAATGCTTGTGGTCAATCTGATTCAGAGCTAAGGGAATTCGATATTCTGACTATAATTCCCTAGTTTTCACTTTCGAGTATCTGCTTTTTAACGTCGCTTTTTTGCTTTCTTTCGGTGCGTAATTTTAAGAATTTCGTTTTCACTAACCAAGTGAGGATTGCATTATTGTACTCTAGTTCTTGTTTTCTATTTTTTTTTTTTTACCAGTTTTTTCATCCTTGGTCACTCTGTTGCTTGTCAATAAATCTTCTATTTATAATATTGTGCATAAGTTGTAGACAATAACTCACAGTTATTAGGTACCCTCTGACCGTAAGCAAGGATGTTATGGACATTGGCTTCTTAGGAAGATTTAGATCAGAAGCATGATTGGCACACTTTTGACGACGCCCTTGAGATGATAAAACGTTTAGTTTCTCATTTATGATATCTATGATTATTGTGATCTATCTAGCTTTGATGGGGTTGGTTTTTCTGGTGAGAGCTTGAAACTTGTTTGAAATCTAGACCATGAGGACCTTTCAGTGTTTCTGATTAATTTTCTGATGAATGTTCTACCTTTTTTAGCCGACACCCTATTGTGAAGTGGGCTCAGAGATCAGACAAGGTTTATGTGACTGTTGATTTGCCTGATGCTAAAGATGTAAAGGTCAAGCTAGAACCTGATGGAAGATTTAATTTCTCTGCAAAGAAAGATGAAATTCCCTATGAAGTTGACTTGGATCTATTTGATAAGGTCAATGTGGAGGTACAAACAATCAATTCTGTAGGGTGATTTAGAATTTGACCTCAATTAGAATACTAATTGATGGTTGATGGCATTTTGTAGGACAGCAAATATAATGTTTGTGTAAGTAAAATACACATAGTTATGTTATAAAGAAAGCGGAGAAGAAATGGTGGGACAGGTTGATCAAGCCGGAAGGAAAGCCTCCTGTGTTTGTCAAAGTTGATTGGGATAAATGGGTTGACGAAGAAGAAGAGAACGGTAGGCATTGTAATTATGATTTATTGGTAATCTATTGTTGTGTTATATCTGGTTCAGTATAGTGATATAGTTCCTTGAATTTACAGAGAGAGCAGGAATGGACTTCGATGACATGGATTTCTCGGTGAGTATAAAGTTTTCTAACGCAGTAAATAAGTTGTAATTTTTTCTCCTCCAGAAACTTAGGATAGATGTGAGGTTTTGACATGCTTTTTAGAGGTACTTCAACATGGATATTGCTATTTGCTTCTGAATTTTGGTATCTTGACTTATCAAGTCCATTGATTTTGGGAACAATGGGCAACAATGTCAGATGGGAAGTTGACTTTTAGTTGGTTAGACTATTCTATTGAAAGTATGTTTTCTTCTCAAGGGTCATTTTGATATGACCCAAATGTTATTAACTCTGTAAGAGTAGAATGGAGGACGCCTAGTAGTGTTTTTGCCAACCTTGGAAGTGGAATACTGATTATGGGGGATGGTGACTTAAGTTCATTCTCTTGGTTGTACCTTAGAAATGAATTTACCCAATTTTGCATTTACTGATTCTTATTTATAATTTTTATGTGTCAATTGAATAAGAAATTCTTAGGCAAAACTTTGGAGAAACAAAGCAATTATGGATTGCTTTGTTCTTCTAATTTTTTGTAAATCAAGTCAGTCTAATTATTTCTGTATCAAGTTATGTTCTTTTAGCTCTTTGTGTGTGACAAGTACCTTTGTCAAGGATAGTTGGTGTTCTCAGGATGTTTAACAAGGAATCGAAACAAGTCATGAGGCCTCTAGCTCGGTTTAAATCTTAGAACAAGTCATGTCTTTTTTGCCTTTCCAAAACTCCTTTTCAGTTCATTGCTAACTGAAAGTATATTGTGCAGAACTTAGACATGGGTGGGGATGATGATCTTGATTTGGATGATTTGAAGGAACAGGAAGGTTAGAGCTTTTGTGAACTTTCTATATAAAGTCTGAAGTAAATGTTCTACAAAACCATTTTTAGATTAGCATGGGTGGCTGAGTTTGAGTTACCTAGTGACTACCATGCCTGTTTGTTGTGCAGCAACTTAACCAAGATATGGTTTTGTAATTTTAACATTGGAGTATTTTCTGATACACTCTGTGCAGATGAAGTCGAAACGAAAGAAGAGGATGGGCAGAAAGAGATGGAGGTGGGAGAACCGCCTGCACCGGTGGCTGAGGAAGCTAAGTCTTGATTGCTTTGGAAAGACAGAAAACGGAGACCCCTATCCTTGACACGAGCTGTGTGAAAGTGAGGTTTTATGGTTACTGGATCAATGAATGCTGCTTACAAACTCAAGGTTGCTGAAATTGTGTGCCTTTTCTTAGGTCTAGCCTTTCTCAAATTGTGTCTCTTTTTATTGTGTGTAGGCATTCTCACATTAGCATGTATGCCATACTCTCTCTATGTTGTCATGGCAGTAAGGATCAGTTCTGGTAAAAGGACATTTCTGGAGTCAAAATATCATGATACATCTTGTTTATGGCTATAAACGTTTTATTTCTTTTTTTATGGGTGTAAAGGTGTCTGTCACGCCAAGGCGATAGCATTGAGAACGAGGAATCCCCATCTGTGAAAGATTGGGGGAAAAATTGCTTGAAACTAGAGTGAAGATGAAGAATAAAAAGGCAAAGAATTATCAATTAAATGATAGATTTGAATATCAAGTGGAGAGTAAATTATCAAGTGGCTAATGCGAGGACCACTAACCTCTCTTTCCATTTCCTCTCCACTAACTTAAAATGAAATTTCTACCATTTTGATTTGATGCAGGGTAAATTTGGATGGATTAAATTTAAAGTTTTTATTTTTATTTATATTTTTATTTTATACTTATTAAAATAAAAAATAAGGTTTTTAATAAATTTATTTTAGTATCAATTAAAACAATGCAAATTTAATTTATATGGTTAAAAACTTGATATTAAATTTTCATATATTAATTATTCAAATTTATTCTGAATGGTTTGAATTTTAATATTTTTAATTATAATTTTTTTATAAAAAAATATGTTTTTGAAAAGTGTCCGTTGGGAGATTATATTCACTTTTAATATTATATTTATAAAAAAAATTATAAAAAATATAAAAAATTAATATTAAATTTAGACTGTGTAAAATTAAATAGTTAATTTATAAAAATTATAAAAAAAATTAAATATTAAATTAAAAGTACATATTAAATTTAGACTGTTTAAGTTGGTCATAAAGTAAATTTATTAATTTTTTTTATTTTAATAAGTATAAAATAAAATATAAATAAAAAGTAGAAAATTTAATTATGGAGTCTACCAAATTTGAATGGCCTAGATTTTATTTTAGGATAGTGGAGGGAAAATGAAGAGGAAGGTTAGTGAAGGGAAGTTAAGTTCAGTTGAGGAGGTTAATCTAATTCATCTACTAATGGTGTACCTCTATCTCTTATAATGCATTCCTCAAATCCTTGTGTGCCTGTTAACTGGAAAATATTACCAGTCTCACCAGCCCATATTATAATCCTCACAAGGAGGTGTGGAAGGTGTTGTGGAGAAATTCATTAACCATCTAAGCATCTCGTGTTAATTAACGATTGCAGTTTTGTCACGCTATCACTTGAATGTTAATCACTTAAGCCCTTTTGGATGTCAGGAGCAAGAATCTATATCACACTTTATTTGTTGCAAAAAGAAGTTATTGATTCATCACAATATCAAAGACAAGCTCACAGATGATTAATGAGGAATTTTATGGGCGAATTCAATACCTGGATTCGATCTGCAACTGGAGCAAGCGTAGCCCCGGGGAAAAGATCTTACGTTGGGTTTGTCTGTGCTTTTTTTTAAAAAACAAAATTTTACTTTTGAAATTTTGTGGGTAAAATATTTATAAAAAAAATACATCCTAAAAGCATATCTACTGAAAGTGAATATAAAAAATATAATTATTTAAAGTTTTTAAAAAATAAATTTAAAAAGTAAGATGTATTATACTATCTCAAGTTTAATCTATTATTTTTTATTTAAAAAATAGTTAATTCATTAAATATAATTATTATTTTAATAATAATAATTAGGTATCAAGTTTTTAGTATTATAAATTAAATAATTAATCATGTTAATTTTTAGCATTCATGTATAATAAAAATTATAAATCTTTATCACATTGTTTAAAATTATAAATTAAAAAAGTATAACTAGATATTAAGTTTTTAGCATTATAGATCAAATTTTATGTTCTTTAAAATCTTTATCATATTTTTAAAATATTTTAAATATATTATATTTGTATAATAAAAATTATAAATCATTATAAATAAATATTTTTTTATAATTGTACATTCAAAAACACATTTTATTATTATAATCCAAACAACTTTTAATATATCAAATTAACTTTAAAAAAATATATGAAAACACAAATTTCATTACAACAACTGATTTTTACTAAATTAATTTTTATCAAATAATTTTTATTAAAAATTTTTTAATAAACTAAAAATTAAACACACACTCAATTCATAGTATGGGTGTGAAGAGAATTCCATGAGAAGGACCTTTTTAATAATTGTACGTTCAAAAGCACATTTTATTATTATAATCTAAACAACTTTTAATATATCAAACTAACTTTTAAAAAAATATATAAAAACACAAATTTATTACAACAACTATTTTTATTAAATTAATTTTTATTAAATAAATTTTTACTAAATTTTTTTTAATAAATTAAAAATTAAAACACACTCAATTCATAGTATGGGTGAAGAGAATCCCAATGAGGAGAACCCTTGTGTCATTGCGTGCTTGCGATGAGCTTTATTCTGGACGAGGAACTTCATAATCTCGCGCAACCGGCTATTGAACATCGTTAGTTATAAGAAGCTTCCATGATATAATTTAAAAAAAGACAAATATTTATTAGTGAATTTATTCTAAAATTGTCTCTCCTTTTTTTGCGTTCATTAAATATCTCTTTCTCTCTCTATTACTCTTATTAAATAATAAAGAATATTTTTTACAAGTTTGCTTTTTGGGGGGGTTGAAGTTTAACATATATTTAGTTCATTTCATTGGCAACTTGATTTTAAAAAATGTTTGTAAAATAAAATGGAGGGAGTACATATCTTCACTTTCATATGAAGTGAAGTTACTAAGATTCCGCTCTAAGAGGGGGCTAAATCGAGTTTTATAAAAATTTAGTTAATAATAAATTTAAAGAGATGAGTCACCAAAATATAGTAGAGAGTAAAAGGAAAAGCTTGCACAGATTATTTATCCTGATTCAGTCATAACTACTCAAGCCTATGCCTTCAAATATTACTTAAGATTTTTTCCACTAACTTTACTAGGGTTAATTTGCGCTTTTGGTAGTCTTAATATAATTTCAGACTTATACTAAAGTCTAAATTACTCCCCTTACAAAGACAATAATTTATTTCTCTTAAACTTCTAGAATTTAAGATACTTTGTTCCACAAAAAAAAAATAAACAAACAAAGTAAGTTTAAAAATGAATTACTCTATCAAATATTCTCTTTAAGCTCAATGAATACAAACTTAAAAAATTGATAAAACCATAAATGAAGTAACTTGCATTGCTCATTTGTGTGCATTCTTATTCACTATCTTCATAAATGCTTCAATTTAGTTGTGCTTCATAAATGATCTACTAGATTTATGAATATGATAGTTGGAGTTTTCATCTTCTTTCTTTTAAGCTTTCTCCGAAAAAGAGGCAATTGTATAGTGCCTTATGGCGAAGTTTCTCTCTTTCAATAAGTAAAGAAAATAACGGTTCTTTATAAAAATATTTTAACAATGTAGGTAAGAGCTTATTTCAGAAGAACAAAGTTATTTGAGAATAAAAAATTTTTAAAATAAGATCAATAAGTATTTAATCTAATCTGAAGTTATGTTTAAAAGGTTTTTAGGATTATAAAATAACTAACACAACTTTTAGAAGATGAAAATAATAAGAAATGATGAAGCTTCAAAGTTGCTCAAAAAGAGACATGAAAGCAGAGCATGAAACTTCATGCTTATTTGGAAATAAGCTGACTAACTTATTTTTAAATAGTGAAGAACAGCTTAACAAGAATGCAGAGAAGGCTCTTTTGAAGTAAGGATCATATATTTGAAGATCCTTATTTCAAAAATTGTTCGAAATAACTAACAATAAAGAAACTATTTTAAAATAAGGATTACGACACAGACAACTCATAAAAGTTCTTAGAATCTATGAAGTATCAATACTTTAAATTGTTTCACATATCTATATCAGTATTGTGTTTGATACTAATACTTCCCAGTACTTCTTCGATACGTACATGTAGAGTATTGAAATATTATTTTTAATTTTTTTTTCATGTGTATTCGATACTTTTAGATTGCAAGTTAATACTTTAAAATTATTTTTTAAAAATTAAATTTTGTTAAATATTGTGATATTAATTTTTTTATTCCCATATATTTTTGTGATTTGCTTTTAAAATCAGATATTAGATTTTCCTTAAAAAAAAGTTTTAGATACAATAAAAAGATAAAAAATTTACTTTTTTAATTATAACAATGTAAGAATATAATCTTTTGGCATTTAAATCTTAGGTGAGAAATTATAAGTCCAATTAATGAAAGTACAATTAACAATTATGTTTTACTTGATATTATTTTATAAGACTAAATATGTATGCTATTTTGGATATTTTTAAAATTAAAATTATATTTTTAATATTTATTATATATATATATACACCTATGCACTAATAGAAAATGTATGGTATCCTCTATTTTTAAAAATCAAAGTATCAAAGTATTGTATCTGATACACATATCAATATCCATGTATCATAGCTCAGAATTTTGATTTTTGATTTCAAGATCAATTGAAATACCTTTTAAGTAATACAAATGGTCCTTAGAAAATTAATATCAAGTCAAATATTTAATTTTTAGAGAGAAATACAATATGAGTATAAACAAGAATTGATTAAGTGGTTCTTCATTACTTGAGAATAAAATGCATATTTGGTAATAATGATATACCTATATGAGAATAAGATTCGAGAGCCATAATTTAAAATAAAGACAATCAATTCCCTTTCAAGTTGTTAATTCTTGATTATTGATCTTGTAAAATATAAACTTCTCTTATTTTATAATGATTAAAATTAGGGTTCAACAGTTATACTTTGTTACGTTTGTTTTTATTTAATGAATTGTCTTTTTTTTTTTAATTCCGCTTATCTCTTCACAAAAAAAAACTATCACTCATGCTTTTTAGAGCTTGTCAATGCTCAACAGTACAGTAGGGCTTTAATCCCCCCCGCTCCCAACTTTCTCCCATTTAAAGGAGATGCGATATCATCGCCAATGAGCTGTAGGTCAAATGACATGATCTCCCACCTTGCTGCAATGAATAAACACAAGCCAAGAGATTCTTGGTTTTAATTAACAAAAATGATTTTGAAAGTGAGCTGCAAGAAACTAATCTCATATCATAACAAAGGACAATCCTTAACATATTCAATTCACTTCTTTTATGTATAAGATTCAATAGTAGTTAGGTCAAGTGAAAGAGACTCAATTTCTCTTAAGCAATGTCAATGATTCAAACTGTATATAAAAATAAATCATATTGAG